TTGTATGTTGTTATATTGGTATGTTGTTATATTGTATGTTGTTATATTGTATGTTGTATATTGTATGTTGTATATTGTATGTTGTATATTGTATGTTGTATATTGTATGTTGTATATTGCGATGCCCCTATTTTCTCTCTAGATGATTGTCCACTTTGTCTGGGGTCTCTAGAGTCCTCTCTCGGTGTCGTGCGGCATCAGACACGTCAGAGACGTGCGTGAGACGGAAAGGGAAGAACAAAGCAAGAAATAGTGAAAAGGTCCTATTCATCCGAATGGTACATACATACATACCTCCATACGTACGGATGTAGGTACGCAGGTGGCCTTCGTTACCTCACCTCTCAAAGCAGTCCTCATCCAGCTAGCCACTTGCCTCGCCTTGTGCGACACACGCAGGACAAGAGTCATTATACCAGTCGACCCAGGTCTCACGTCTCCTCACACCAGATCCGCACAGCCCGATACCTTGCACGGGTGTTCCTGTCTCTGTCGCTGTCGCTGTCGCTGCCACCTGCATGCTTCCACTCCCACCTCCGCGTCCCCCTGACACCCCTAACCGCCGATCCACTTGACTCTTCCCGATGCCGCCACCACTGCCGACGCCACCAACACCGCCAACATCGACTCCGTATCGTGGTTGTCGCTGCCCCTGCCGCTCCCGCGCCGTCCTGGACTGGTCGCACTCCATCTCAAAGTACTGGTCCGTCGCGAAGTGGACGCCGCACATGCGGCAGTGTTTTCTGGTTGGGGCCGAGATGCACATTTCTCTGTCTGTCTCTCTCTCTGTCTCTCTCTCTCTCACACACACACACACACACTCTCTCTCTCTCAGTCGCTATCTCTCGGTCTCCTTGTTCTGTGTGGACTAGATAGGTTGGGTGGATCGCATCGCTTTGTGTGTGCTGGGTGGCGGAGAATGAGGAGTGGGAGGTGAGAAATGGGTAACGGTCGACGAGTGACGGTCGATTAGCGCCGGGTGTAACAAGCTAGGTAGGTAGGTAGGTAGGTAGGTAGGTAGGTAGGTAGGTAGGTAGGTAGGTAAGTAATTGGTAGTTTGGTTGTATGGTTTGTTGGATGGATGGAGTTGATATCGATTTCTCAAACACTCTTTGGTTGGTGTGTTCGTTCATTCGTTCGTTCGCTCGCAAGGCTTGTTGGAAGAAAGAAGGGAAAATGGATGTTCCACGTCTATTTATACGCTTGTACAAGTGATCTGCCCTACAAAGGCCGGGCGGGAGTGACAGCAACGGTGACGGGGTGGGTGGGTGATACGTGGCGTTGCCTTCACGTACGTACATACATATCTCATTGTTCACCCCTAGTGTTTGTTTGGTGTTGGTGTTGGTGATTGAAGACGAGGCTAACAAAGAAACAGTAGTTGCGGCGTGATGCAGAGGTGCTGCAAGTGAGAATGAGAGAGAATGTTGAGTCCCTCACTTACCAACCCTCCCTTGTGTTCAGTGTCGCTGGTAGTGACATACGTATATATTTGTGGATGACTTACTGGACATGTGTCACTCGTTTGGAATGAATCGACGGGAGTCCAGACAAGATCGGTACATAGGACGCAAGACTACTTGAGCAGCCTGGCGGGTGACATGGGATCACTTCCGGTCCTTGTCCTGTTGATCCTTCATCATCGCATCGCAAAGGCAGCGAGCCACTTGATATCGAGATCGGCGGGCGCAAGGAAACTGGGCGAGGAAAAAGACCAACGAGGCTGACCTACATACACCACACCGCATCACATCGGCTGTGCCTGACTCTGGATGGAAAACCACGTCTAGTAAACTCGTGCTTGTCAGATCTCGGAATTCGATATCATTATGTTATTACCATTCTGCGTCTGGTGAACTGTATGTATGTACATCTGGGATCGGTAGGCTCGTGTCATCTCCGCACAACCTCTTAAAAGTTCTTGCCCGTAAAAGGGCTCTGGACAGAACCAAATCTGCAGCACGAAAATTAGCACAGCGCTCAAGCGACACTCACACACAAAACTCACCCTTGCGGACATTGTCTCCCCAAAGCCACACTCCCGCTCCGCATGTAGCAGACCTTGGCCTCGGCACACGCGTTGTTGGTGCAGTTGGGGCTCATGACGCTCATCTTCCCCTGCAACGTGTTCTGGATGCTCACCAGCGTGTGGTTCGCTGCCATGGCCTCGGTGACCTTTTGCCAGTATGTCGCGTTGAGGGGCGCATCTTCGGGCCATCCAACCTGGTATGTGTCCCTGGTGGAGTACTCAAAACTCCATACGGGACCTGTTTGAGAGGCGTTGAGGGTTTGAAAGGCGCTTACGTTGGCGAAATAGGTGTAGGCGTTGTAGACGGAGAAATCTCCCGTGTCCACCTCGTACATGCGATAGCCCGAGTTCAGGTTGGTCAGAGGAGTCACGCTCGGGCCCATCCAACCGACGTTGACGGCATGGGCAGCATCTTGTGTGGTGCCGTTGTTGCTGTAGTAGATCATGAACTGGTCTTCATGAGTGTGGCCGAAGAAGACACCGGCAATCACATGTGGAGAGTACCGATCGACAATCTGGTAGAAAAGATCTACAAAAGCAGTTAGGCAAGCACCCATTAAAGCCGTCCATTTTCTCGTCCGATAAGCTCCCGTGTCGACTTACCTGTAGGGTTGGGAAGCGGGTTGGAACCATCCCAGCCCGACAAGACGTGGCCCAATAACCAGACTCGTTCACCTTTGGCCTCGGCATCCGCAAGCTCTTGCGCCACAAACTTGAACATCCCACTGTTGTCCGGATCTGTGGTGTTGCTGCCTAGACGTGAGAACTCTCGTCATTAGGTGGGAAGGTCTGCCTACATGTAGTTCAAGAGGTTGCTCCGGTACCAGAAGTCGGTGTTGAAGGTGATGATCCTCAACTGTGGGTATTTTGGGTGGTTGATACTGTAGGCGCCATAGTGCATGCGAGCCTCGTTTGCGGCCTCGGCACTAATCCAGTTGTTCTGCTGCCAGAGCGAAGAGACGTGGTTCCAGTTCCATGACCTGCTCTCCAGTTAGAGACGTCCGGAAGTAGCGCAACGACTTACTGTTGCTGGCCAAGATTTCCTGGCAGGCTATGCGGAGAATCGATACCATCTACATCACCCCTGTCAGCCATATCTCCCCCCGACGAGCGGGACTGTTCTTACCCGGGTTGCTATCGTGATTCCCAAGCACGGCAAAGATGGGCCCGCTAGGAATATAGGACTTGATCATATGATAGATCGAGGTCTCGGCATATTGGGTGTAGTTGTTGGACAGTTCATTCTGGGATTCGTGAGACACCAAATCGCCCGTGTATATCCCCCAAGCGAATTGGTCATTGTCGGACTGGTTGTTCCACGTGGTGCCTGTCAGGGGTGCGATCGACTCCAAGGCAGACGTCAGAAGGAAGTAAGGGCTGTCGCATTTGAACGCGCCGTATAATGGTGAAGGAATCTCCAAGTGACCCGAAGCACTCTTTGGATTATTGGAACGGCAACACAGCCCACTTGAACAGTTTGCTTCGGAACCGACGGCGTATCTTGGATCGATGTGCATGTCACTCAAATGGATGACTTTGACTCTTTTGCCGCTGGGTTTGGGTACAGTGATATTGGCAGGCTTGGGGCCGAAAAACCCGGTGGTATTGGAGGGAAGAGTGAACGGGCGAGGGCAGAAGTTGCCGCTCAAAAAGTTGCACAGATACTGTCCATCGGATCCAGCCATATCACCCAGGGCGAGGATTTGGGTATAGATAGCGCCAAAGTTTTCAGCATCATAATTCTCATGACAGCTCGTGTTGGACATGAACCCGCTGCTTATGCACAACTGTACCAGCAGATCCGGGACCATCGTAGGCACCCGCTGAGCCACATATTGGCCGACTTCCAACGCCGAGAGACATTTGGAGCAATTTGACGCGTCTGTTGTAAGAATAGAATTAACTTGGCTGATAGCATTGGTCACAATCGCACTCCCGTTGGTGACCGCAAAGAGGGGAGTTGGATAGAAGACGGGATCTTCGCTCTCCTCTGGGATATTGGTCTGGTTTGTCAATTCAAGGGGGAAAGCTGTTTTGTTGTCAGCATTAAAGAGGGCCATGCAAGGAAGACTCTGATGGCATAGTATGAGCATGTGGTGTTCTCGGGGACTCACTGTAGTTTAGTGTCGGATCAAACAGGACGGGTTGGGGCTGAAAGGCGGTGTGTCAGCAGAAGTCTGAGAGAAATCTCTGATAGTACAAGACACTTGCCTCTTGAGTCGGTGATGGGGGAATATAGTACGAGGGAAATAGACTGGTAGGGAAACCGGCAGGAACAGTATAAGCCAGGAGTTGAGAACTGGAGCCTTGGGCATATGCGAGGGGACAGGACAGCAAAGGCAGTGCCAGAGCCAGCGACATACAGCGACACAGCATCATGGGCAGAGCTGGTGACAGATATGAATCAAAGCAGAATGAACTATCTCAACCTACCGTGAGAGTCTCTGGCAAACAAGCAGAGGGAGGTGAAGGCTTTCTCCCAGGATGCTCAGCCTTTTTATCGCCGCACCGTCCAACACTGTTGCTCAGACGTGAGTAGCGGTTGGGCCAAGCTTGGAGCTCTCCCGAGCTGTTGGCAAGCTTGATCGAGAAAATGATGGCTTCAGACCAATCGTTTCGACCGTTCAAGGCAGAAGCAAGTGAAGCTTCGACAAAGATGTAAAGTGGATGAAGTGGATGAATTGATGCCAATGATGGCAATGATTCCCTGCCACGAGCTGCCAAGGTTTCACCAATCGAAGAGGCGCTGAGGCTGCACGTGTCGGTCTAGCATGTCGTCCTACTCGAAGACTGCATAACACGTACAAGGATACAAGGCAACAAGGGACCAAGTCCATCATCCTCCACCGGCAGCCAGCCGGTAAAGGAAACTTGTTGCTGTAACCGAACCACATGTCCAGGGTTGGTCTGTAAAGATCCCACCGATCACGATCCCTCCAGTTACTATCTATTCTTGTATGTGTGTACAAGGGATAATATACTCCCGTAGAAGCCGAACCAGACACAACAACATGTAACGTCATGCAACAGGCCCCGTCAACTACCCGAGATCGAGATAGACCTCGCATTGAATTGCTAGGCTTCTCCATCTCCCAGAGCACCGGGTCAAGTCCCCCATTCCCCCTAAATCCCAAGCTTGTCCACCGTTCGACCAACAATTTCTTCGTATTGCTGCATTCCCCTCTCCAGTCTTCGAAGCCCTGCCTTTCGCACATGGTATACTGTCCCTGCGGTACCTGCATCGGAATCCGACTCTTGGCTGCTTTCTTCCTCCCCCTCTATTCCCACGGGCTTCTCCCCATCCACCACACATCGCATAAAATGTCGGTCGTGAGTGATGACAAGAAGCGCACCCTCCCAGTACTTCAGTGCCTCGATCAGTGCGTCAATCGTGTCCGCGTCCAGATGCGTCGTGACTTCGTCCAGGATGAGCAGGTGGGGAGAGTTGAAAAACACCTCCGCCAACGCCACGCGCACCCGTTGGCCTCCAGATAGAGCCGCGAGAGGAATGTCTGTCACCGTATTGCCTCGGAGACCTAGCTTGGCCAATGTACTTCGAGCTGCCTGCTCATCTCCCGTCCAGTTAGGGAGTCCCATCAAGTGAGATAAAGCCGTCGTCTGCCCATTCTGCCTCCCAACTCTTTCTAGCTCTTCGACAGCATGTTGCGAATAGCAGCTGAATCTAGCTTTGGAGTGCACCGTTATCGAGCCTTTGGTCGGTCTCGGGTCTCCTCCCGTCGCCGCTCCCATCAAGAGCTTGACCAAGGTGGACTTTCCACTTCCGTTCAGACCTGCCAAACCGACGCGTTCACCAGGATGCATGACCAAGTCAATATCTTTCAAAGTCCATACACCTGATTTGGGGTATGTGAATGACACTTTGTCGAAACTAAACAGGGGTCCCGAATGACGCAACGGTTCTGGCTGCTCCGGCAACGTTATCGAAACAGGCGGGTCAAACTCTGGAATTTCGATGCCATCGCGCACCGAGGTGTGCCATCCCGCAAGGTCTCGATTGAGCTTGAATCTACCACCTCGTTGGCCAACCTCGAGCCCAGTACGCTCCTCCAGTTTCTTTCGTCGCGAGGCAGCTTGCTTCAATTTCTTGTCATCTCCCGTTCGTTTGGCAGCCTTGACATTCTTGGCTATGGTCTCCTTCATATGTTCAGTCTGCTTCTCTTGAGCCTCAGCCATTCTGGTCATGCGGCGGATTTGTCGTCGTTTCTCGGTTTCATACTCTGTCAAGTTGCCCTTGAAGACCTCCAGCGTTTTGGCGGGAGCGAGTCGGACAAGGAGCACCTCGTGAGCAATTGCATCAGCAAAATCGCGGTCGTGCGTAACAATGATCACAGTGGTCCCGTCCAGCGACTTTGTAATGTATCTTTCGAGCCAAATGATGGCCGGCAGGTCAAGGAAATTCGTAGGCTCGTCGAGCATGAGGATATCCATCTTCTGAATCAAAGCACATGCGAGGTCACAGCGCGTTTGCCATCCCCCGGACAATGATTTGACAGGTTTCTCAATCTGTTCCTCGGAGAAACGCAGGCCGAGAAGTATCGTTCTGGCTCGGGCCTCAGTGCTGCCAGCGTCCATGGCTTCAAGTGCAGATCGTGTCGCTTCCAACATATCAAGTCCAATTCTCGTGACCTCTTCCTCGTCTTCTGCGATCGCGCCATCGTCATATCTTGTTCATCACCGCCACAAGTCAATTACACCCCCCCCACTGAGGACACAGGAAGGAAACTTACCGTTTCTGCGCTTGCTCGACTTCCTTCTCCTTTTCTATGAGCATTTGACGTGCTTTGAGGCCTCGAGCACCACTCCGTCGTGCCGCTATGAGTTGAGCTTCGGCCAGTTTTTGCTTCGCTTGAGCAAGTTGAAGCGAACGCACGGTCGTCACAATCTTGCTGGAATGAGCTTTGTCTTCCAGCGCCGCGGCAAGGCCTAGATTGTTGTTAGAAAGGTGCCTCCACAGCAGCGGAAGACGACGTGCGATTAGCATCTGCGAGAGCCCTCTCTCTGCGTCGATCACTTCTTGTGACGTGTTCAAGCACCTTGACGGTATCGCTCTCCCTTTCGCCAGTTTCTGCCTCTACATCAGAGCTGACGCGCGTCTGGCCTAGCAAGAGCAGACGCAGGTTGCGCGGAACACCAGGCACTCGTCGTTCTGCCAGCGCTCGGAGCAGCGAACTTTTCCCGGTTCCATTGCGCCCAGCGAGGACGTAGTGCACACCTTCAACGATTCGCAGATGGGCGTGGTCCAGCAATTCCCGACCTCCCACGGACAGCGTGAGGTCCTTGACATCAATATCCTTTGATGTTGGTGCATCCAAGGCATCTACATGGAAACGGCTTTGCTGGCTAGTGACGACTATGGTTCCATCCTGCAATGAGGCTGCCGATGTGCTTGATTTCGATGGTTTGGGCATACTAAGTCAACAACTCAAGAGGAGGCTCGAGAAGAAAGGAGCGGTTGCATTGAGAGTAGAAAGATCTTTGCGCCCTGCAGAGATGATCAGTTGCGACTTTATATGGTATGCTCTCACATTGTCCCCCTTTGTGCGGGGCGCAATACATCTAGCCTTTGCAGCTGAGGCTGGAGGCAAACTGGGGTCGAGGCCGTGCGCGAAGCTTCGGTCTGTCAACCGGGAAACTTTGAGCATGCAACGTGCGTGAGTCACTCAGATGCTGGTATTGCGCAATTGGAGGAGCTTATTCGCGTGCTTGACGGCAGGGTGGAATGAATCCCTGCTGCCCTCTTCAAGATATTCAGAGCTGAGGCGATTGAGCGGATGAGTCGAGCGAATGAGTCACGTAAATGATAGGCGTGCAACCCTCTTTGGACCTGTTTCAGGGAGCGGAAACGAGTTGCATGAGGGTCAATCTCACAATTTCCATTTCGTCAGGAAATGACATGTCTGACTGTCATTTGAAAAGATGGTGCTCGACGTGCAACTCGTGACCTGCTGAATCCGCCAATCAGGACAAAGGACACGCCGTAGCTGCACAGATTCAGATTCCTTCAACTCCCAATGCGAAGCAATGCGAAGGCGAACTCTCCGAAACCAAATCCTGATAACGCACGCTTCTCACCAACACCCCAACTCCTACCGCGGCAATGGCGCAGTTTCGCGCAAAGAAACTCGACCTCGGGTGCTTCATCAACTCCAAAATCATCCGCGACCACACCAAACGCAAGACCTTTGAGCAATTTGAACCGCAGAGGTACCCTAACCCATGCCCGTCCACCACCCTCTCGCCTGATCCATGGCTGCCCTCCGAGCCACCCGCATGAACTTCTCAATCCCATGGAACTGACACAAAATACCACGATCTAGGCAAGCACTCCGATACCTTGTCCGGAACACGTCCCTCCCAGATTGGGTGCGAACAAAGGCGCAATTCGAGCTGAGAAACATGCACTGCTACACGCGGCCCACGCAGATCAAGAACAGGTGTATAATGGGTGGCGTGGCCAGGAGTGTGCTGAGGAAGTTCAGGATGGGCAGGGTAAGTTCAATAAATATCTCGCTCGGAGAAGCGAGCGGTGGGTTATGTGGCTCTTCAATATCTACGATGGACGAGTCATTTAGAAACGGCTGGGAATTTTGTACTAACTGTTCTGTTACTTTGCAGTTCCAATTCAGGATGAATGCGCTGGAAGGGTCTATACCGGGCGTCAAAAAAGCGAGTTGGTGAGCTGGCTGTACAAAATATGTTACAAGCATTTGGGTTTCCGGTATTACATGGCATGGGATGGCGTTGTCTGTATACTATTTCGAGAACGACAGGAGCAGGACCACTTGTGCGCGTGAAGATCGAGCGAGGCCCAGGACTCTGAGAAGGGATTCATTAGAGCCTCGAATGCTCGAGACGAAATGTGACTGTGTCTCTATTTCAGCACACACAGCCCGAATATGCGATGGTCGCTAGAGTCCTCCCCACAGCAAAAGAAGAAATCACCCTCCAGTCTCTTTGAACCCAATAGCGGTCTCTGTCAACTCTCTTCGTCTTCTTCCACCTTGTGCACGAGCAAGACCTTGACCGTGATTGGGCTCTGCATAATCTGGATATCTGCCTCATAATGCGTCGTGCTCGCCCTCCCGCCATGCGTGAATCTGGTCGCATGCCAGCAGTCAACCGCCTGTCCCCTCTAGTACCCACGAACAACGCCGGAAAAGAGAGAATGGGAAGGTTGAAACAAACAAAACCGGACCTCAAGCCCTATGATCACTTGACAGCCCTTCCTTTCACACGTCATGCCTAGCAGAATGGGCGCCTCGGTTCTTCTTCATCGACGGTCGGGTCCAGCTTCAATCTTTCCGTAATTGCAGCAATAGCCTCATCTCTCTGATGTCGAGGAGATGCTTCATCCCCAGACGACGCCAGGACTGCAGCCTCAAAAGCTTCCAGTTCTTCTGTCTGTCGCTGGCTCCCGTCTAGACTGGATGGCCCTGCTGACTTGGCATACTTTCCGGACTCATCGTCACCTGATTTTTGCCGCTTCTCTGCTTCCTCATCTTTCTTTTGCTCCTGGTCACCTTTCAATCGTGCCTCAATCAGCATTGCTACTAGCGCTTCCAGTGTATATCGTGCATCGTTCCCGGCATTGTGAAGGAAGTAGCATGGGAGGCCTAAATCTCCCATGATTGAAGCAAGGTTGCGGTTCTGGGTTTCTTCCTTCAAGATCCGAAATAACGGTGCCGTGTCAAGTGAATCGATGATTGAAGCCAGCGTCTCGGAATAACGCTCTCCTTGGGCCATAATATCCATGGCGGCAACGGGATAGGTGGCCCGCGACGACGTAAAGATTTTGGATCCGAGGTCTTTTAGATACGCGACATCCGTTCCAATACTATGCCCAACCAAAATAATCTTGCGCTGTTTTGGTCCGTTCTGGAGAGCTTCTGCTCCTGATTGATTTGTTTTGGCAAGTGCGATAGCATGCTTGATGGCTTCCTGATCGCCAATGCCCGTCAGAACGCTGGTGACAGCTGCTCTATTCGCGGCCTCTTGTTCAATATTGACCAGATCCATGCTGGTGCCTCCGAGATGAGTAGAAGTTGGTTGGGAGGCTTCGTCCCCCTTTGCATGCTTGACTGGCTCAGCGCTCCAAGGATCGATCAGGCTGGGGTGCTTGAAATCCACGGAGAAAGGCCACTCAAAGCAGCTGTCCACCTTGGTGGTAGCATCTTCGAGCTCGACCCATTCAGATCTGCCAAATTGGAAGGAGTTTGGATCTCCACGACAAAAGTCTTTATTGACCAAGTGCTCTCTGCCACGAATTCTGAAATGTCGAGAACGAATTTGCTCTGTCCAGTTCTTGCCTCTTGGTCCTGGAGGCACATTTACCAGGTCGAGGGTGTCCAGAGTGCTGATTCCGATTTCGGTAATAAGGTTATGGGCTCTTTCATATGACTCGATATCAACCGCAATGAAAACGGTTTCTTCTTCAAAAGCATATGGAGCCGGTGCACTCAGGTCGAGCGGCTCCAAGGTAACATGAGCGCTCTTCAACTGCTGAAGACGGAATTGTTCTTGTTCTTCCCATGTCATGCTAAGATTGGGAGGGAGAATCTGCCCAGTCTTCCGGCGGAGACCCAAATATCGCTGAGCTCTTCTCAATTGCACATACCAATCTCTTATCGCTGTCAACCGATCGTATTCCACCTTCTTCTTGCCCCGTCCACCTTTAGTCTTACCGGCCGCCAAGATGGCAGCTTGACAATCGTGCTTGAAATCTTCAAAGCGCTGTCTACTTTCAGGTGAGGTATTATGTGGGCATTCACCGTGGCCGGGAGTAGCAGTTGGAACACTGTTCTGCAGTTCTTGTGCTTCATCCTTGGAGTGTGCCTGGCCCAAATGTTGAGGTTTCGGGGTTTCGTCCTCGAAAAATGTGAAAGTAAACGGAAATGGTGGCACTGACACGGGGATTTTGAATGTTTTTCCAATCTCTGCAATGAGCTCCTGGACCTGTTCAAAGGGAACAAGAATGATCGCTTTCGCTGTCAAGCTGGCTGGCGGATGCAGGTAGTAGCTGGCTAAGGCGTTAGCAATGAACGTAGCGATCGCTTGCACCTGTAGCCCAGAGGAAATGCGGAAACACCGAGAATATAAAGAACTTACAGGTCCCAGGTTCGGTTGTAGAATTTATTGGATGCGAAGAAGTGGCGTGAAACACGATCATTGACATCATTCATGTATTTGTATGGGAATTTGGCTGCAAGGTGGAATTGACAGAAGTGTCCGGCGACCGGATTTCCTCTCTTGTCTGTTGTCGGCAGCTCCTTGTCTGAATCGGAACGCTCTGTCACGCGTTTGGAGGAAATCCGCTCAGAGCGCTTGCCGTGAGCAATATACCCAACAGTCTCCTCGGGATCGAGGACAGGATCCTTGAGGCTTTTACTCGTTTTGTTTGCATGAATGACGCTTGATATCGGCTGAGATGGCTTCAGGGAGGGTTTCATAGAAGGCTTCTTCTTGAACGAAGAGATATAGTCGTCATCGTCGTCCGAGCTGGTAAGAATAACGATGTCTCTTTGAGGCTCTTGCGCTTTGAGTGATTTGGTATCTCTTGGATATTGAGCAGTTTCAGGAACACTCCAAGGCTGTTGCTCTTTTACTGCTCTTTGCTCAAGCTCTTTTTCCGAGAAGTGAGGTTGACCGGGAGTTGGAGCTGTTGGGAGCGTTTGGTTGGAGAACAACTTGTTCAATCGCTCCTGAGGGGTGGTACTTGCCATTGTGTCTTGGCCTTTCTGATAGTTTAGTCGTGTAGAAGATGGGACACAGAAGGTAATCAGCCGGTGTCCTGGTGGGGTGGAACGTGGGTTTGATGAAGTGGTGTTGATCGACGGATAACCCTTGAGTTCAACGATTCTGGGGGAAGACAATTCTGGAGCATGAGTAGTCGTATGCGCAGGGTACAAAGGAAGGGGAGAATTGCAAGGGGAAGTCTGCGCAAAAAGATGTTGAAAAACAGAGGTTGAAGTGAAAAGGAAAACTGATCAAACCATGATTGACTTGGGAAAGTCGGTCCTAGAGTTTTAGGAAAGTGAAAGAGGTTCATATCATCATCGCTCACATTTAGAGACTTTCTTGTCTTGCTGCACCTTTGGTTTCGTTCACCTCATGGAGGGAACAGAAACAATCAAGTCAAAGGACACAGAAAGAGTTGAGAACGAGGCTGAGAGTGAAATGCAATCTGCGGGCGGAAATGATCACCCACGTGACAAGACCAAGATATTGCCGTCCCTCACCGCCTTTGCCGCGATGGCAACTCATCTTGACATGCGCGTTCAACTGCGGCAGCGCTGGGTGGGATGTGTACACACGTTGACCAACAAACCAGACAAGCTGCAACCACATCTATCCCTTTTACGCCACAACGCAATATCGTTCCTCAGGATTACATAGGAGATGGCTTGATATTGTGACCCCCTCTGAAACCGCAACAAAGAACCAACCCAACGTCTCTGCAACCCAATTCCTCCTGGCCTTGCCCATCCCTCTCTTCGATGCGCCGGCTACAATAACAATCACCTGGCCTCGATGCCGACGATGGAAGAGATTGCTAGCGACCGCGCTGTCGACCCCGATGCGCAGGCTGCCGTGACAGACTTCCTCGACTATACTGAATATCTCCCTTCCGATCTCATTCGATCCCTGACTCTTATCCGCGGCCTCGATGACACTTATTTAAACAGTGCCTCAGTACTCAATGACCGTACCAAGCTATATGGCTCTCTTCCTAGCCTTGCGCGCCCTGCTCGTCCAAATGCACAGGAACTCCGTGCTCAGATATCCGCGAGTCTGGACAAAGCGCTGAACGCGCGGGAATCCACGTATGCAGAGGCCTGCCGTCTGTTGGACGTTGTGGACCGACATCAGAACAGATTAAAAAGCATTATCGCAAAACTAAATGCCATACCAAAGCCTCCGTCGCGGGATCCAACCCCTCAGCCGACCCCCTCAACGCAAGTCAAGCGGTCTCGGAGCGGGAGGAAGATCGAGAATAGTGCGTCCGCGAGGCTAACCCTACATCCACCTCGGGCCAATGCTGTCGCCTCTGCCATCCTCAAAAGACCCCGCGGCCGCCGTATCACGGTTCCAGGAGATGTCATGCCACCTTACGATCCCGATTCGCCCATCGCAAGCACAGAAGTCTCGGACTGGGAATCACCACCACCTTCGCCTCCACGCCCCGTCTTGAAGCTCAAACAACCTAAGCCACCGGCGCCTTCCAAACCCCCGAAACAGAAACCCCCGCCACTTGAGGAGAAGACGCGCGAATCTCGAGAAGCAACTGAGCCTTATCACAAGCCTACTCCTCCACCTGAAGATGCTGAGATAGGAAGCAAATGGAGGCCGTGGACTCATTTGACTGAGTACGAGATGTACAGACTTCGAAAGAAGATGAAGAAAAACCATGCCTGGGAGCCCAGCGATATTATGATCAGACGCGAGCTGGCAGACCGTGGTAGAGGTTGGGACAATTACTACCGGGCAAAGGCTGAAGCTCAAGCGAATGGCACAAGGTTCATCGACATCGATAGCATCGAGAAGTTGAACCCAAAAGCTGAGAGACCTGACAAGCCCGAGAACCTTGATCAGGTCGAAAGCGTAGAGAAGCCAGAGACATCAGAGACAGTGGGGAAGGTTGAGGAGGTAGTGGAGGTCTCAGCACAAGAGCCCGAGGTTTTGGAAAAGTCTGAAGACTCTGTCGCCGCGGCAGGGGTTACACCTATTCCGAAAACAAAACCGTTGAAGAAAACCGAAAAGAAGGAGAAGAAACCTGATCCTGCGCGGTCACAGGCAGCACTTGCTGCGCAAGAGGCTGAACTCGCTGCTCGAAGACTCGGGGACATTGGCTCCAAGTTTCGCACTCTGTTCACGACTCCCTTTACTTCAGCCCTGGCATCGTTGAGCCGAAGTGCCAGTACTCCAGTCCCTAATCGGCCGCCTACGACAGTGAAGAAGGTTACGGAAAAGACGTCCAAGAAGAGAAAAGCGGATGATACACCCACTTCATCGGTCTCCCCATCAGCGGAGCCTGAAGCCGCAAGAAAAAAGCAAAAAATTGCGCCTAAGCCATCGCCTCTAGCGGCGAGTCCCATCCCAGGCGTAGCCCCTACATCACCTGCCGCCACCAGCAGCGAACCTCCTCCTTCGGTCAGTACAGCAACCGTCAAGATTCCACTGAAACTCAACGTGGCAGCTGCAGCTGCAGCTCCACCACCGGGAGTGACTTCTGCCAGTGCAAGCAAAACGCCGACTCCTGCCCCAGCGACGCGTGCGGCCAGTGTTCAGCGCACTTCGGTCGCACCCAAACCAGAGGGTACACCACCGGCATCGACGACGACTTCCTCTCGACCACCATCACGGCGCTCCGCCGCGGCGTCCGTGGAGCCACAAGTGCCTACTACGAGATCCAGCCGACGGGCGTCCATGACACCCTCTCTCGCTGGAGGCCAGAAGACACCCGCCGAGAGGGAAGCATCAGGACCGAGTCCGAAAGCCATCATGGCAGTTCCTACAGCCGCGAGCCATCGAAGCAAGCGAGATGCGCCGGGAATGGTAACGCAGTCGAGTCAAGATGGAGGCGCTGCTGTGAGCGTGAGCAAGCGCAAAACGAAGCCAGCCAAGAAAGCATCGTCCACTGCCCAAATCCCACAGATCAGGATCGACGTTGATGGAAAACAAGAAATCGTGGATCCCGACGAGGAACGGTATTGTCTCTGCGGCGATGTCAGCTGGGGCGAGATGATTTGTTGTGAGTTGGACGAGAAGGCATGTTTACCCTCCTTTGCATCCCACAATGCATGCGCTCTTTCTTTTTTTGACTTGTTAATCATCTATCTCGAAGAAGTCTGCTAACTTTGTTGCTGTCCATTTAGTGTGACTTTGGCCAATGGTTTCACATGGAATGTGTATCTCTGGTGGAGTTGCCACCTCGGACGGTGAAATGGTACTGTCCTGGCGATAGGAAGAAACTTCACAAAGGAGAAGCCACCAACGGACTTGTGGGAAGAGGAATCAAATGAACATGATATGGTATGTGGGTGGTGGACGGATAAAGTCTTTTTACGAGATGATTGTGAGCCATGAGGGAGGCATCGTGTTACTTCTACTGCGCGAACTGTCTGGAGAGGCCACGCTCAGTGGTCATGGGCACCGGGAGTTGTTGGCTGCAAAAGAAAAGCACCCGCCATTCGTGACAATTGGCTGGGCACAGCACCCCTAGACATGACCGGTATATTCATAGTGGTGATAGGTACATTGCCAACATCGACATTGACATCAGCACTATTTATTCATATTAATCACAACATGCTTAGTTGTGAGAGCAAAGTGCTCCTCAAGCAGTCAGTTCGAGACAGGCACAGGCACAGGCACCGAGTCCAAGCGATCCAGGGAGGGCAAGGGAGGAGATGGCATCTTCTAAGAGTTATGCGATCTGAAGAGTGCCTGGGCTTCAATCAGTTTTGCGATTCAGTGACATCTTGATAATTAAACCGTGGTTCTTTCGGCTTTCTTTGCGCATTGTTGGGCGAACCGTTCTAAGCGTGATGGTGGGTCGTCTTGTATTTCTGGTCCCTTCGAAGCTGCATTGCATTGAGGTCGGAGATTTTGTACCCTCAACACTCGATGATGAGAGATGAAGGAGGGATTTCAACGCTGTTTCGTTGAAGATGGGAAGTCTTTGAGCAGACTTGACGAAGAATTCAATGTGTTCGTATATGTGTTGAGACTTGCCCTCTCGATAATGTCGTCTTGTGCGTATAGTGGAAAAGATGGGCTCGCAAGGCGGTGCTGTCCCCAGACCGATACACTAATTATGGTCTGGGTAGATCATCAGTGAGTTGAGAGGGTTAGTTTCGTGGTTCTGATGGAAGTAGCACCAGCAGTACCCGGCGGTGGTGATGGGGTGGTCCTGCTCTTATTCATCTCATATCGTTCGGCTGCGGAGTTCAAGCTGCAAGGTTAGATGGGGAGGTCCTGGTGGTTAGGCTCATTGTATCATAGAACAAAGATACATTCGAGCAAGGGCAGCTTCGATATGAGGACACAAGACCAACTGAGGCCAACACAATGCACGCCACGATACCGTGAACAACGCCCAGCCCGCGCTGCTAGCAATATGTCCTGAGTTTGCGGGCGTTGATTCTGGTTCTCATCTTCTGTGACGTTGTGATCAGGCCGGGAGAGGACATAGCGATGAATTGTTGGTACGAACTAGCCTCCAGCATTCTGTCACCAAGCAGCCAGATAGCACCAAAATCTTCGAATACATTTCTTTCCACCAGTCGCGGCCATCGGGTCCGTTCGTGAATCACCGTGCCAGTGTAACATTAGCAGCTGGACGCCTCTGAGGAATAATGTACACAAGCAATCCGCAGCTTTAATGCAAGAAAGGTCAAGACTGCAAAATCTGTTGAGTGTCAGAACCCACCCAACGAACCTCGTCCTGAAGTGTCAATGTCCCGAGCGAGTACTTTGATAGCAGATTTAATGCTGTCAGACACCCACCAGGTACTTTGGACATTCCAAATTGTTTTGATCAAGTCACAACCAATAACTGGATGGTTACTCGACAGATAGAGTTGATGGAGACGCTGTGTGCTTTCCGAAACCGGCACAAGATAGATCACACGAATAACCGACACCGAATATTGATGTTGTTTCACAATGCCTCCACTGGGGAGCCATGTACCTACTTTGACCCGGCTGCGTGGTCGAGACCCGGTCCTGTTGAGGAGGCTTTCTCGGAAGCATAGGAAGTGTGTCTTAGCCAGACCCTTCCGATGGAGTACTCGTAGGCAGGTAAAGGAGATCGTCCCCAGGAGGTGTCTACGAGTAGCAGTACTCGTCCGAGAGAGGAGTCATCGCCTTCGATGGTGTCTCGGAACAACTAGCTGAGGAAATATTGGACCCTTTGAGTCGATCATGGAACGCCAATCGACAAGCAACTTGAAGGTGGGATCATTGCGGACCCGCAGCAGGGGGCGCCTTTGGGGGACTATACGCGATGTGCAAGGCTGACAAGATAATTTCCGAGACCAAGCTGGTGGAATTGGAGGGAGCCGAGCTAGGACGACACATGGGAGACGAGGGTCGACCTAACATGACTTCCCCGGGGCTTGCCAAGGGAGAAGTTCATTGACAACAGTCCGCTGAGATGGACAACTTATTTCGGCCCTTTTTCATCTCAATTTCAGGGGATTTGGCTACGTTGATACAGAAGCCACTGCAGATTTGAATGTGGTTGTAAAATCGTCACGTCTCCTTAGAGTGAGGTCGCATTCCTGACTGGGATAGAAGGTGTCGTATCTGGGTGCTGTCATGCAGAAGTTCGGCGCTCTGCTAGGTATCGTGAGTGCTCAATTTTACATGGGCAAGCAAGAGGTCTGCATGTGGCGCAATTTGACTTTAACGGTGGCCCGACGACACCAGCCGGTAAGTTTCCCACAGCCACATGGTTGACTGGGTCACTTGGGAGGGATGGGGCTATCCCATTCTCCCAGCCATATCAAAGCCAATCAATCAGGGGTGAAACGCAACTGCTGAGGTCCATTCCCTAGGTGTGATAATCTGAAGTCGAAGGGACTGGTAAGTACCAAGTTGAAGGATACGAAACGTGTAACAGAAGGTCGTGTCGATGAATCGTGCGACACATTCTCGGATTATTGAGCATTGCTGCTTCAGCATTATTGTCGCTATTGTTGCCTCGAAGTTTTAGATTAACAGCCAGGCTGATGACTGACTCGGGATGCTCGCGATACTCCGGGCTCTGCCATTGCAGCACTTGTGCTGGAAAGCAAATGTTCGGGTCCAACCTCTAATCGTTAACCCACCCTGCTGATACACCGACATTCTTTCTCCTGCGTGTTTCGAACAACAAAGCCTGTTACTCGAGAGACCGAATTGCCATGTTATCCATCTCTTAGCTCTTGGAGTTTCAGCTGTGTAGCGGTGAAGTGGACTTGTCATTTTGAGTCCGGGTCTAGCAGGCGGAAGCAATCCACCCAAATCTGCCGCGTTTCTAGCTGCATTCTAGCTGCAGGAGAAAGCCCACAAGGGGGTCAGTCAGGCTGAAGCAACGAGCACAGCGCCAGCGAAAAGAGGGAAAATAATTATCAGGAACCCGTGTCATTTGTGCGGACCCCCTCTTAAATTTGTGGGATGCCAGGATGGAGGTCGCTATAGCGGCCCGTCAGGTCCGAATGCATCGCTGAATTTGTGGAGGGATGCTATACGAGAGGCGACGAGCAAGAAGGGTACGGAGTACTGTAGATGCTGACTCGAGACAAATCTGCCATTGTGAGTTAGGTTGTACTCGGTACTTGTAGTACTTTCGACACGTTACCTAAGATAATGAGATGCGACAGCATAATAGTAGTCTAAGTAGAATGGCGGTTTGTGATTAATCCTATGAGTGCATCTGAGAAACTCTGTATCTGAATGTACATAGGTAGGCTGTTGGCTTGACAAGTGGGTGTCGATATGTCAGATGCCAGTGGCCCGTCAAAGAGTAAAGCAACTCTCCGGATCCAGTAAGAGGTTCGGGAGGGACAATTGAGACAGATTGGGAGAAAAGGTTGGAGGGGATGTGTGTGTGAGTGGATGGTGGGAGTGGATACGGAGGGTGGTAAGTTGAAGGTGAGGAGGAACAGGAAGAGAAAAGTGAAAGGAGGCATCGAGGAATCGAGCCACCAAGGCATCAACTCTGATCGACGCTTCTGCAGGTACCGGGTGTACGCCGGCGCACTATGGCACGGCACAGTGGACACAGTGGGCATTGTGGGTAGAGTGGGAGTTGCCAAGGGCGCTGGGGCTCAGGCACACAAAGGGATTTCTCGAACTTGTAGGTGCCGGGCGGCTGGCACCTGCCAATGGGCCAATGCAAGCCACAGAGAGCCATCGGCACACTAAAAGCGCCCTTGCAGTTCCCCTGGTGCCCTTGGGACCCTCACTGACTTTGGGGCCGACGCGATATCTTAGGTATCGATTAACCAAAGGCCCTTGTCCCTGCCTGTTTCCCACCATAATTTTTTTTTGTTTTGTTTTCCGATTGCGCTCCTACTGGGTACTTTGTGTGGTGATTTCGTTTTGCTGAGGGTTGCATTTCTATTTCTAATCTCACATTACTCGTATGTCACCGAGCTGAGAGGATATGGCCATCCCTACCTCCGCACTGGGTTCAGCTGTTGCCTACATTGGTAGTAAAATCAATGAGTCAATCCCAGTCACTGGCTCACATTTCTTTCTGGTGTTGGCCAGTCAATCGCCCAGGCCCCAGCGATGTGGGCTCATTGCGCATCCGGGCAATCAATCATTCTCCAATGTTTCTAGCCTCCTCGTTTATTTGTTTGGCATGCTTCCATCACGCTTGCTTCTGGTCCACGCGCTTTGCCCTGGTCCTTGCCTTGGACTTTAGGCCTTTGTTTAGTTGCATTTACCCTCCGATCCCCGTCTCCTCGCCCCTCCTCGCGTCAAACTTTCTTTCTTGTCGGCGGCTCAGCTTCCATTACCAGAGTCCATGCTACTGTCACTGTCCTGTCACCCGATTTCACGTCTTGGCCAACAAACGACAGAATATCCGAATTCTTTGGACGAGTTGCCTCCCTGCCTCCCTAGATACGATTCTCCAAAGCCTAGGCCACCCCTTGCTAGAACAAACAATCTTGTCAATAGGTTCTTGTTTGCTGGTCCGTTGTCCAATGCCAACTACGGATCCCCACTTCGGAAGACAACTCGATGCGTCATCACAACGAGTAGATGCTTCCCGTTCACGGGGAACAAAGTGAAAAAGGAATTATAATACAAAGTCAAAAGTGGTGCTGCACCGTGCACAAGGACACTATGATCGGGGATCG